GCAGAGAGCCTGGTTTCGAGGTGTCTGAGGCAAACAATATCAGGTTCAATCAGCTCAAGCCAGAAACAAAAGATAGGAACCCCAGCCAAAATCCGCCATGCAAGAGTAAGAAGAGTCCAAATTGCGCAAAGCTCAGTACAAACGCAGCAGGGTTCAATTTGGCAAAGCTTCTTGGGAAAGGGGAACTGTCGAAGGAAGCACAATCCGTCACAAACAAGGAGAACACACTTCCAAAACGGGCCAGCCCAAAAGGTAAGAGCGTCAAGCCGAAACAAGAGCAACTCTGCACAACCAGTGGTGACTCTGATGTGACAAAGTCTACCGTCAGCAAAAGCAAACCAGGCTGCAAAAGGCTTTTCAACAGCATGAGCACACCGAGTTCGGCAATATCAGCTACAGGCAGGGAGGATACGGGACCAGGACAGGTCAAGCCAACTGCCAGCGAAACGGGTTCACGACTAGCAGAAGACCATGTTGGCAAAGGAAAACCGAAAAGTGCAAAATCCAATACAAGCATAAGGAGATCGGCTTTGGAAAGGCTTCTCATCAACAAGAATGCCTCCAAAGTTGCAAAATCAGCAGCCGGCATCGTGAGATCCAGGCCGCATCTTCCAAAGAGAAGCAATGAGCTTCCGATCCAGGCCTTGGTGCGAAGCACATTGCTGCTACCTTTCTGCACCAAATGTTCTTTCTTGCTACTTTTCATATCCTTTCATTTGTCACAAACTCACTACCAGACTGTATCCCCAACACAACGCAATGCACAAACACCCGAACACACATCCTGTTTAGTGAGTTTCCCTGAAAATCTAGCAAATCATTAGTTTGAGCGCTTCTTCAAGGAAGCGTGAGCTATCCTGCATCCATATGTGGTAGCTTAAGTAGCAGCTAGTAGCGAACTTATCCCTTACTTGATTAAGCAGGCCTCTACTTAATTACGTAGAAGCGGGCTCAAAAGTAAAGATACAAAGCTCTTCAGGCTTGTGTGAAAGCTCGGCATAGATCCGCCCACACCGGTAGTATGTGAAGACCCCCTAAGAAGGCGAGGGCACGGCCTTTGAATTGGAGAGATATATACTTGGTTGAATTGGTTTGATCGGACGATTGGTGTTAGAGATGCAAATGACTAAAATGATAGTGATATCAAAGCATTAGAAGCGCACTGGCAAGCTATTCAGGCTCACGTCTGCATTTAAGAATCGCTTTGAGAGCCTATGTTCAGAGGCAAATTTGACCTAGCTTCAGTTGGCAGTCTTCACCTTTCAGGAGGCACTGGTGACGAGTGCGCGATTTGCTGCAATGTGAAAGTGTCAAGGAAGTAAGCGCTCCAAAATATAAGACTTAAACCCTGCTGCGTGGCAGCACAACACCGCAAAGCAGCAGAAAAATATGTGCTACAAACGATATTTCTAGTGAATGTTCTGCCAAACGTATGTATGTGTGTATATATATATATATACATGCATAGATACATGATACATATATGCATATGCATATACATATATATATACATCATACATCCTTTTGTTGCTGAGCTCCAGACAAGCTGCTTCAATGCCACCACAAAGCCAACATGCGATGAATCCAATATGAGGAGCGACAATTCCAGAAGCGAATGTCGAGCAAGTGAAAATGCAGGCTCAAGCTGCGCAGGCGCCTGGAGAGGCAGCAAAAAACCCAAATGACTGAAATCCATTACAAACACTAATGAACCAAGATGGGCACAACTCTGGACCAGCAGCGGAGAAGCAAAACAAGCAACATCAGGCACTAGGGGTGAGGACACTGGCTCTGAACAAGCAAGGCCAAACAAAGGCGCTGTCGATTCCCCGCGAAGAACAGATCTGATGAACAGAAGCAAGTCAAAATGTCCGAAACTTGATGCAACCAAAGAGCTCCCCAGGCATGCAAAACTCTGAGCCAGCAGCGATGTGTCTGGACTGGCGGTCTTTAACACTGATAGGGAGAAAACAAAATCTGGATGTCCCAAACCAAAAACAAGTAAAGGTGAGTCTGCTCGAGAGACACTGTGCAATAGTATCACAGCTTCAAAAGGCAGAAAATCAAGTGTCGACAAAAGGATCTCCATTTGTAGGAAGCTGTGCACCAACAATGGAGAAGCAGTTTGAGCAGCATCAAGCATTGCCGGAAGTGTGCCGAGTTAGGCTATGCCTCTGAGGAAAAATAAAGGATCAATGTTCGCAGAATCCACTACCAATGGGACAACCTCAAGACATGATGGCCCTAACAACGAAGTGGCTAAATCAGGAGCTGCAAGCCTTCGAGGAAATAGTGAAAATTCAAGTTCAAGAACTTCAAAAGCCAAAAGCACAAGACCAGGCTTGCAAGAGCTTTGTAAAGTCGGTGAAACCCCCGTACTTGAAGAATCCAAGACTGATGGGAGTGCTTCAATTCTTCTTGCGCCAAAAGTTGGCAATGGAAAGTCAGTTCAAATAAACTTGTGTGTCAAAGGAGGGAATCCAAGGTGCACTGAATCCCACACAGGCATCGATGTTGATGTTACAAATGAATGCGCGGACAACAACAAACCCAAATGCAAAGAGTCCAAGGCAAGTAAAAGCAAATCAGATCAACCACCGCCACACATAAGTGGCAAAGCCTCTGCATGCACAGGTCTCCTTGAAGACAGTACACTTTCCATGTCAATAGAATCTAACGCAAACGATGTGTTTTCGAGACAGAATGCGCCCTGCAACAATAGTGCCGATCCTAGGCTTGTAGAGTCCAGCACAAACAACAATGGCTCTCGAATTGGACCAAGAATAGACACAAGAAGCGCAACTTTAGTGAAACTTCGCAGCATCAAGAATAAGTCTGTCTGACTCTTGTGCGAAACCAGCAAGGAGATGCCCAGTCTGGCAATGCCACGAAGCAAGAGCGAGGCTTCAAAATGGCTGCAGTCTGACGCTGAAGCGGAGAATTTTAGTCTTCCACAGAGTAAAAAGGCTAAAAGGGAACCCAGGCAGACTGCTCCTTGCAACGGTAAGGAGAATTCTGGCTGTCCAGGATCTGAAACAAGCAAAGAGGTGCCTGGACACGCAAAAGATCGAAGCAACAGGAAAGAATCCAAAGAGACACAGCCAGAAGGAGACAGCACTGCTCCGGGACGAGACTTGCCGGGAACTGAGATCAAAGCGTCAGGGCTGCCCATGCTATGCGCAGACAGGGATAATGCTAGGCAAGTGAAATCACACGCCACCAGAGCAGTGCCCAACTAGCTAAAGCTTTGAATCAGCGAAAATAACTCCAAGTGTGCAGAGTCTAAAGCAGCTGAAACTGCGTCAGGCCGAAGGCTACCAACCAAGGGTATCAAAGAGTCCAATCGATGTGCTCCATGCAGGGTTGGTGAAGAACCTGGTGTTTGGAAGCCAAAGGCGAAAAGCAAAGAAGCTGGACGAGAAGGACTACGAATTGGCACAAAGAAGCCCGCATGGCAGCAATCTAAGGTTGACACAGAGGCCTCCATACAGGTCATACTGCAGATCAAAAGCACAAAGTCCAGACATGCAGCCGCCCGCAATGTCAGTGCAAATCCAAAAGAACTGAAGTCCAAGATTGAGAAAGAGCTGCTTGCGCGTCCAGCACCAAAAGCGGCTGAAGAAAATCCAAACTGACCAAAACTCCGAAGTGGTAATGAACTTGCCAGTTGCGTTCCTTCAGCTACTTCTACATAATGGGCATTGGATTCCAGTCTGAGAATCTCAAACACATTAGAGCTTCCAGAAAGCGTAACTTTCCATTTTGGAACGGCTCTTGCGCTGAATATCAGCTGAGGAAAGTCCGTGGCTGCACCCTTTGGTGCCTCAGATACAAAGGTAGCAGGTGACTGTCGACTGTTTGGGAAAGTTGAAGACATGAGCGTGTTGGCGTGTTGCTTCGCTTGGCTCCCAGCTGGATTGAGTTCCAAGGGTCCAGGAAGCATCAAAATGCCCTCCTTCTTCAGTGCGACCCATGCCCCGCACTCCTGACATTACCATGCTGCAAATGACTGTGAAGCAAAGGCAAAGAGATTCCCTGGCCTGGATAAGAAGAATGCAGAGGTAGAAGCACCATGAGACCCTTCCACAGCTGTGCATAGGCCTGTGCATGCCTCAGCGCTACCACATGGAAAACGTCTGAAGACCTCTTACATACATCTCCTTCAACCAAGAGACCTGAGAAGCGCGGAACGTGCGCTTCTCCTGACTTGGAGCAGCCGATTTGAGCAATTGCCAGCACGAGTCTCAGCTCAGAACCAGATCTTCTCAGCAATGCAACACCTAGCAAGCAGTGGCCGGGAATTGCAGGACAAAAGACTTCCTTGCTGATCCCGACAAAGCGAAGCACAAAACCGCCTTCATTTTCTCAGGGGCAACAGGTCGTTTCTGACCAAGCATGCCACTGGCTAAAATGTATGAAAGGGTTCAAACCACAAGCTGCGCGGGGCAATTCAAGCGAAGGTGCAAAGCTGCAAATGTTGGCTCTCAAAGGCACAGACTTGTGATCAAGTGGATTGACTTAGCAAGAAATGTGTTCTTTTCTTTGTGAAAGCAAGCTTGAGTCGTATGATGCCATGGCAAGTAGGACATGATGCTAAGGTAGATACATCTCTTGTCATGTCTAGTCTAGTCTAGTCTAGTTTGCTTGTTGGACTTTGGTTGGCTTCCAAAGGCGTTGATGTATGCTACAAACGTGGAGTTCTCGCTAAACTAAGCTCAGCAATGGTCCCTGGAGGTCACCTCGGGTGGCTGGCTGTTGCTGAAGGTTTGTCCTGCCTATCACCAACATCATATACATGTCAATACTCAAAAATAGGCTAAACCATTCTAATCGTTTGTCAGCCTCCAGCTCTGGAAGAGCTGCTTTTTTGCTTTAAACAGGCTTGGCAAAAATAATGAAATGTGAAAGCACGCGTCTGGCAAGGTGGCCCCGCGGTTTGGTGCAACTCATACACGAATTCTTGCTTCCTAGATTCCTTCTGGAGCCACAATTTTTTGGAGTCAATGTCTCCCTGAGCCTGGCAATGAAGAAAAACACAGTTGAAACAGTAAGCAATACATGGTACTACAAGAACCACAGAAGCAGTTGAAGGTTGGCTGTGACATCTTTCAGCGAAAACTGCATGATTTGGAATCAAATCAAGTCACATAAACACATATATAGACTAGAATTTACTTTGGTTTGTTATGATGCTGTAGTGCTGGCAGTGTTAACGGACGGAAGAATAACTGGAGAAGAATGACACACATGCACAAAGGAAGCACAATAACGAAGACAAACTACTAAAAACTCAATCCGCCGGCCTGCCGGCGTGTTTTGTGGATTGTTTTGGTTAGTATTGCTTGTGTTGGTTTCAATCTACGGTTTGTATCTCCGCGCGGATTTTTCGACAGCCTGACGCCCCCCCCCTCCCCCCCCCCTCTCTACGTCTAAGGTGATTGGACTGAGACATGTCGATCGCTGGATCAAAATAAACAACCATTACACTAAGACATGTCGATCGCTGGATCAGAATAGACAACCTCTGATTAGGATTCGTTCCATTTCATTGTAAAACGACTTCGCTTGAAATCAACATCAACAAACTCTCCCAGCAAAATGTGCAACTCCAATGCACCCACAAGTCTGATTGAGCAGGGTGTTGTTGTTCGATGTCATTCTGGGTCTTTCATTTCAAACGGTTTGGAGAAAAAACAAACCATGCCAGATCTAGAAATTCTTCGGTCGCTTTGAAGCCTTCTGTGTGTGAAAAAGAATATCTGGTGCGTGTCGCAGTCCCTCGAGACGGTCGGAAAAAAGATCTGAAAAGGAAAACATGCAAACGGCCAAGTAGTTTGGAAGAAGAATCGTTTTCGAGGTCATGTTTTGTGGATAGTCTTGGTTCGCATTGCTTGTGTTGGTTTCAATTGGTTCCTCTTAGGTGATTCGACTGAGACATGCCGGTTCGGATCGCTGGATCAGAATAGACAACCTCTGATTCGGATTCGTTCCATTTCATGGTCAAACAACCTTGAAATAAACATCAACAAACTCACCCAGCCAAATGTGCAACTCCAATGCACCAACAAGTATGATTGAGCAGGGTATTGTTGTTCGATGTCATTCTGGGTCTTTCATTTCGAACGGTTTGGAGAAAAAAACGACAATAAAATCATGCCGCCAGATCAAGAAATTCTTCGGTCGCTTTGAAGCCTTCCATATGTGAAAAAGAATATCTTGTGCGACTCGCAATTCCTCAAGACGGTCGAAAAAAGATCTGACAAGGAAAACATGCAAAAGGCCAAGTAGTTTGGAAGAAGACTCATTTTCAAGTACCGGTTTTGTGGATTGCCTTGCTTCGTCTGGCTTGTGTTGGTTTCCATTGGTTTCAATCTACGGCTGGTTTCAATCTACGGTTTGTTATTCCGCGCGGATGTTTCGACAGCCTGCCCTGCCCCGGTTGGTTTCAATCTACGGTTTGTTTCTCCGCGCGGATGTTTCGACAGCCTGCCCTGCGTGTCGCAATGTCATGTTTTGTGGATAGTCTTGGTTCGCATTGCTTGTGTTGGTTTCAATTGGTTCCTCTTAGGTGATTCGACTGAGACATGCCGGTTCGGATCGCTGGATCAGAATAGACAACCTCTGATTAGGATTCGTTCCATTTCATGGTCAAACAACCTTGAAATAAACATCAACAAACTCACCCAGCCAAATGTGCAACTCCAATGCACCAACAAGTATGATTGAGCAGGGTATTGTTGTTCGATGTCATTCTGGGTCTTTCATTTCGAACGGTTTGGAGAAAAAAACGACAAATCATGCCAGATCTAGAAATTCTTTGGTCGCTTTGAAGCCTTCTGTGTGTGAAAAAGAGACGCGCCGGATTATATAGCTGCTTCAGCCTAGAAGAGGTGATCTTGTCCCTGCCTTGGAACGAAAATAGAACTGTGGAACACTGTTAATAAGCATCATTAGGCTGCCTGCCAATGCGGGCTCGAGCTGGTGGCCGGCGGCATGCCGAAGGCTGTAAATAATGAAGAGAGCAAACAATGAATCTGAAAGCCTTCGGTTCAGCAGCAAAGCATTGGGAAGATCCACATTCAAACCCCAAATGCCACGAAAGCTATCGTTTGGAGAAAGAAGTTGTTAAGAAAAAATGTTGAGGACTGAACCTAACAGCAACGTTACGCCAGCTCTCTTCATCACTTGTTTTGGGAAAGGTGTCATAGGAGAAGTCACTAAATCGCAACAAAACAAGCATGTAATGAACGTATGGCGCAACGCACCAAAGCAACCCAAACTCGGATGGGCAAACCGAAAACAAGAGGCCCAGAGGGGCAAGCCTCCTTGTTCTTCGAGAATGGGTGGGGGTGTGTTGCAAGTAGCTACCGTATATATATAATATATTATATATAATATATAACACTATATTATCCGCCGGCCCCTGCCTAGCTGACGCCTAGGCGGGGAGGCGCCCGGGACACCGGAGGGAGAAACACTGCAATGCTTAGACCCGAGCCTCTGGAACCTGTCACCCCGGCCTGCACACCCTTCCCGGCACCTTTGGCTTAGGCCCCCAGCGCACGTTTGGCCGACTCCTGCCCCGCAGCCTTTGCATTGGGCAGGAGCCTCGGGAACGCGCAGCCCGTGCACTGCAGCCTTAGAACTGAGCCTCTGGAAGCTGCCACCTCGGCCTGCACCTCTTTTCTTTATAGGGGCCCGAAGGTGACGTCCAGGCGCCTTCAAACGCTCCGCAGCGCCACTTTGGCCAGGCTACAGCTAGCCTGTCCGAAGCCATGCAGCCAGCCTGGGGAGGGAGCCTCGGGAACGTGCAGCCCGTGGCCTTTGGCCTACTCCTGCATCGCAGCCTTGCCTGAGCCTGGGGAGGGAGCCTCTGGAACGTGCAGCCCGTGCACTGCAGCCTGCCACCTCGGTCTGCGCCTTTTTCTTTACACCCCGAAGGTGACGTGCAGGCGCCCTCAAACGCTTCCCAGCGCCCCAGGCTTACTCCTGCATCGCAGCCTTGCTGGCGTCAGGCGGGAGCCTGGCAAGGGAGCCTCTGGAACGTGCAGCCCGCGCACTGCAGCCCAGGCGCCCTCAAACGCTTGCTGGTGTCAGGCGGGAGCCTGGGGAGGGAGCCTCGGGAACGTGCAGCCCGTGCGCTGCAGCCTTAGAACTGAGCCTCTGGAAGCTGCCACCTCGGCCTGCACCTCTTTTCTTTAGGGGCCCGAAGGTGACGTCCAGGCGCATTCAAACGCTCCGCAGCGCCTTTGGCCAGGCTACAGCTAGCCTGTCCGAAGCCATGCAGCCAGCCTGGGGAGGGAGCCTCGGGAACGTGCAGCCCGTGGCCTTTGGCCTACTCCTGCGTCGCAGCCTTGCTTCAGGTGGGAGCCTGGGGAGGGAGCCTCTGGAACGTGCGCCCGTGCACTGCAGCCTTAAAGCTGAGCCTCTGGAAGCCACCTCGGTCTGCACCTTTTTCTTTAGGGCCCTGAAGGTGACGTCCAGGCGCCCTCAAACGCTTCCCAGCGCCCTAGGCTTACTCCTGCATCGCAGCCTTGCTGGCGTCAGGCGGGAGCCTGGGGAGGGCTTCTGGAACGTGCAGCCCGTGCACTGCAGCCTTAGAGCTGAGCCTCCTCGGCCTGCACCTCTTTTCTTTAGGGCCCCGAAGGTGACGTCCAGGCGCCCTCAAAC